GCCTGTGGTGGCTGGAGACCTGCAGCTCATCGGAGAGGTGAGCCTGGAGCTGGATGGGTGCAGTGTGAGGCCCCCGTGTTCAGCCATGGGGGATGTCGCATGCAGGGAAGAGAGTCCCCCTTCCCTGCATCACCCCTCCTGAGCCTTGTCCTCCTCAGAGCCCTGGCAGACCTAGTGCATTTGAGGGGCAGCTGAGCACTGCATCCTCTGCTACCTGCCTGCTGCCCTTTTCGTATGTCTTTCCATCCCCTCACAGGTCATCCACATCTTCTCTCACATCCACCAGACATACGTGGTCTACTCCCTGTCCCTGGATGGGGATGTGACCCTGGATCCTGCCTCATCCCCATCCCGCTGGGTGACAGTGGAGGAATTCCATGCCTCAGCTGTGTCCACGGCTATGAAGAAGGTACTGGGGGGCCCCGGGGCCTTTCCTCCCCTCTCTCAGTTTTCCTGGGAGAGCCTCTGGCGTCCTCCCAACTTCTGCAGGCTGCCCTGGCTGCAGGACCTGGCTGCTCTTTAGCTCTGGACTCTTTTGCTTCCTTTAGGTCCTGAAAGCATGTGAGAAGCAGCAAGGGAAGGGGAGCAGCCCTGGCCAGGTGAGCATTGCTGGAGGGTGTGTGGGGCCCCAGGAGCTGCTGTGGGTCAGGCTTCGGTGTGTGGTGCTGCCAAGAAGCATCCCCATCCTGGGGCAGGGCTGAGCCTGGGGGGTGTGCCTGGCTGGCAGTGCCTCTGGGTGTCCTTAGTACCAGGGTCCCCTTGCTCCAGAGGGGATCCCTGGGGGCCGTGGGGCTGGGTTGAGCCCTGCTGTGTCTCCTGCAGGGCTCCAAGCGGAAGCGAGGGGCAAAGGCACAGGGAACAGGCAGCACCAGCCCTGGGACACAGCTCTCCCTCCGTGCCTTTCTCCGGCCACCGACTGTCCCGTGATGGCACCTTCCACCTATGAGACCACCAGAGCCCTGTGCTGTGGTAAGTCCTGCCCGTGGTGTGGGGATAGTGTCCCCCATGCTGCTGCGAGCCCAGTACATTGCCCTGTAACAGTGTCCCACTCCTTGCAGAGTCCACCAGCCTCCCTGGCCCCCCCATGGGGAGTTTTGCCTTGATGTGGCCCCTATGGTCCTGGATGTGACTGGGAGCCAGCTTGCCCTCCTTCCTTGGTTGGAGCCCTCCTGGGGTCGTTTGGCTCCTCACAACCACTGCTGCAGCCCTGTGGACTCGTGGCAGCAGGGTTTCTCTCTGGCAGCAGGAAGGCTGCAGCCACATTGCTCCTGCAGCCCTGTCCCTGCATACACCTCATCTGCCAGCCAGGGAGTGTGGCTCCTGCTGTACCCTTCCTGGCCTCCCACAGCCCTTTTTATACACTTGGTTTTACTGAAACTGACCCACAGGCTTTCTAATAATAAATCTGAAGTGAGTGTGGGTTTTATAAGTGACTTTCTACCTCTGTTGCACTGTGCTAAGCTGGGGTGTGGGGCAGCCTGTGGTTGAATGTGAGGACGGCTGGTACGATCCCTGCATCTGGGCAGGGCACAGCAGGGATTACTTCATTCATGCACCCATGAGACCCTCAGCTGAGCATTAACTGCTCGTGGCTCCAAATGCAGCACCTAGAGCACCTCTGCTATGAGGGCAGGCATCAGGCCTGGGGGCTGCACAGCTCCTGCCCCTGGGCTGCTCCTCCCTAGGGCTGAGCAACTGTCCCATGGGCTTTTTGTTGGATTTTATCCCCATTTTTTTACCCTTTCCATCAGGCTGTTCCTGTGTTCAGGCTGTGGCTTTTCTCTGACTGTGGTGCACAGGAGCATCCTTGCAAAGGCACAAGCCTGGGGGCTGGCAGGGACAGGGGGCAGCCCTGGGGGTATGCAAGGGGCGAGTGGCCTCAATTTAGGGAGTGCAGGACTGAGGCAGCCTAATTTGAGAGGCACTCATCACATCTTAAATGGAGGAGAGGAAAAACCAAAGCAGTACTTACAAGTGAATTCTTTAATGGAGAGCAACAGGAGCCCATCACTGGCTCTGCACAGGGGCTGGCTCTGCTCTGGGTGGTAACCATTGATGAGTGGCTGTGCCCATGGCTCCTGGGTTATCTGCTCCCCACTGGCAGCCCCTCATCCCCCTATAGCTGGGGGGGTTGCTGTGCCAGCAGTGTTCTTAGCCATGCTGCAGAACAAGTCTCATTTAAATTAAGGCAGAGTTCTTCACATAAGTTTGACAAATCACTGGGAACCCAGGGAAGGGAGAAAGCATCCTCCACCCTGGGGGATGCTCAGTCCTGCTGGACATGACCCTGAGCAATGTGCTCCCACATGGAGTTGGCTCTGAGTTGATCTGGAGACCTCCCTTGGTCCCTGCTCCTGGTATCTCTACAGGGGTGTATTGCCCTAGGGTTGGACCAGAAAGGATGGGGAGCTGAAGGAGGACAGTCTTGCCACTACTGCTGCTGGTCCATATAGATCTGCACAGCTTTCCACAGTGCCCGGATATTGCCCTCCCCAAAGCCTGACGCTCCCCGACGGTCAATGAGCTCCAGAAAGAAAGTCTCTTCAGAGAAGATGGGATGGGTGAAGATCTGCATCAAATACTCCTGGGAAGGGCTCTCTGCAGCAGCAGTGCCCTTGTCCCTGGATGCTGTGGTGTCCAGCAGGATGCCCAGCTCTGCCAGCATGTGGGGGTCCTGCCCGGCCCCCTGGATCTCCTCTGCTTTGCCATCCTGGGTGTAGTACGTGACTGGGGGTGTGAAGAACCGCACACCCCGCTGCTGCAAAGTCCTTGTTGTCGCAACAATATCAGTGGTGCGGAGGCCAACGTGCTGGATCCCGGCCCCTCCGTGCTGCTTTAGGAAGGTGTCGACTTGGTTGGTGCCATCCCTGGAGAGGGACTCGGCGAGGATGAGCTTGCAGCCGTGTGC